ATGCAGCAAAGTAATAATCAGGACTTTCTCTGTCTCCAGAACAGCTAGTCATTTTAAATTTATTGTTCAATATCTTTAAAACATTGATTAGCAAAGTTGTTGATGGATGCTGTTAGATCCGGTAAAGGATAGGCACACAAAGGCTTCAGTAACAAGAGCTCTTTATTGCAAGTCAGGTACACATCCAATGAGGAAGGGTCGGACAGCAGCCTCTTTTAAAGGGATCTGTCAGACCCTTTGACCAATGGGATTAAACCTCTATTCCCACCAAAACAGAGGAACTTGGTGGAAACCACTGTCGGGGGGGGGGAATATCTAACACCCCTCCCCTCTAGGATAGAACAACCCAACTGGTGACATAGTCACGCAGGTAGGTGGGCTTTTGTGTAGCTCTGCCTGACCTACGCAGTTCAGTAGGAGTGGTTCCCTTGAACAAGTCAGACGGACTTGTTCACTCCGCAAGTCTGGCTGGTGGAAACTCCTGGAATTTTTCACAGGCCGCGGCTGGAGCTTCTAGAGTTAACTTCCTTGAGCTCGCTGCGGGCTTGCATCAAAATCAGATAAGTCTTCCGATACTCTTGGGCTTGAGTTGGACATAGAAGGATTGTTATTTTGTTCTGTTTGCATAGGGCTTTGGCTAGCTCGTGCAGGAGTTACCATTGGTTGTCTAAGCGTGGAGTTGGAAATGCGGCTACGGAGTTGGTCAATATGCCTTCTCCAATTTCTACTGTCCTCGAGTTCTACCAGATATGATCGAGGGCCGGTAATGCCTATTACTGTGGCAGGAATCCACAATCTTCCCCCGGTGTAGTTGTGGGTGTAGACTGAATCTCCTATGGTAAAAGATTGAATCTTGCTTATGGAGTCTGGGGGTGATAAGGTAGAATAATTTGGATGTAACTGGTCTAAGTGTGACCTTAGACGCTGCCCCATGAGAAGTTTGGAGGGGCTTCTCCCAATGGGGGCACTGGGTGTGATGTGTTGGATCAGTAAATAGTGGTCAATCCTTGTTTGCCAATCACCTGGGCCCATCCTAGCGAGGGCCTCTTTTGCAGAGCTCACCATTCTCTCCACCTGGCCATTGGAGGCCTGATGGAATGGCGCGACCAGGGCATGCCTGATTCCCTGAGATGCTAGGAAAGTCTCGAATGGCATGATGCCCTATGTGTAAAGCTTCTAATACTGCAATGCACAGTTTGATGGGAATAACTACCCAGTCCCCCCACAGCAAACACCCGTTAACAATCGACAACTCATCACGTTTGGCAAAATACATTTTGAAATCAGCTCCACAGGCCTCTTGGGCCACCCCCTCCATACCCAGTTCAAAATTTGTTTTATTGTGGAGTCTTTTGCAGAGTGGCATGCAATGTCACTGGATGAGACGGGTCCAGTTTCCAGGCAGTCAATGAGAAGGACCGGCATCTCGGGGGTGGGGTCAGCGAGAACTTCAGGCAATGGGCAGTGGCTCAAGGCATCTGCATGTCCTAAAGTGCTGAATGAGATGGTAGGAATAGGCAGCCAGCAAAATAGTCCACCTGGTCATGTGTGGGGATAATGATACCGGGGTGGGGCGATCCCCAGCTAGTAACCCCAACAATGGTTTGTGGTCCGTAATCAGTTCAAAATCCCGGTCATAAAGATATTCGTGGAACCTTTTTACTCCGGCCACTGCAGCCAAAGCCTCGCAGTCCAATTGACTGTAGTTCCGCTCCGTGGTGGGCAAGGTTCTGGAGTAAAATACAATAGGGGCTTCAGTTCCGTTAGGCATGCAGTGGCTGAGGACAGCACCGACACCAAAAGGGGAAGCGTCACAGGTTAACGCCAACGGTAGGGTCTGGCTGTATTGGACTAGGAAGGAATCGGCTGACAGGAGTCATTTTACTGCAGCAAATGCAGCAGTCTCGGCTTTGCCCCAGGACCACTTCGCGTTCTTGGCGAGAAGGTGATGTAATGGTTCAGCAACGGTGGCTTTCTATTTGAGAAAGACGCTGTAGAAATTAATTAATCAAGGAACGCCTGCAGTTCGGTCTGATTGCAAGGTGTGGGGGCATCCTGAATAGCTTTAATTTTTTGTGAGGTCGGATGGATTCCAGACCCATCGATCAGGTACCCGAGGAATTCAACCTTTGGTACATTAATCTGACATTTTTCTTTTTTAAGGCAGAGACCCTTGTCTCTAATTCTGGCCAAAACTGTTTGAACGCGTTTTAAAAGTTGCGCCTCATTTGCAGCCGATACCAAGATGTCATAGAAATAGGGGACGACTCCTGGAATCCCTTGCAAAAGCCGTTCCATGATGCTTTGGAACAGTCCCAGGGTGATACTAATTCCAAATTGCAGGTGGTGGCATTTGAATGCACCCTTGTGTATCACAATGGTTTGGGCCTCCATGGTAGCGCCATCTACTGGCAATTGTTGGTATGCCTGCACCATGTACAATTTTGCAAAGACTTTTCCTGGGCTAAGCGAATGTAATAGATGCTGTACAATGAGTACAGGGTAGGTGCTTTGTTGTAACACCTTATTTATTGTGCACTTATAGTCCGCGCAGATGTGGACAGACCCGTCAGATTTGACGGGTGTTACAATAGGAGTCTCCCAGCGTGTGTGATCGATTGGCTCTAGGATGCCCTGGCTCAGGAACCTGTCAATTTCTTCATCAATTTTAGGACGGAGAGCAAAAGGTACTCTCCTGGGGCTGTAGTGGGGTCCCAGGTAAAAGAAATTTGGGGTTCCCTTGTACTTACTCAGACCGGTGCCAAAGACTTCCATGAACTCCTGAAAGATGACTTCAGCGCCATCGTCCGTCACGGAGTTGATTCCGGTCACCTCCATCCCCAAAGCTTGGAACCAATCAAGCCCCAGGAGGCTCTGAAGGTTGCCGCTGACCACCGTCACAGGGAGCTTTTCGCAGAAGTGTTTGTAGTTCACCCTGAAGGTGCCTTGGCCCATGATGGGGACCTGGTTTCCCTGGTAATCACGCAGGCAGATGTCAGGGTTTCGGAGGTGCCACTTCTGTAGCTTCGGAATCTTGCTTGAGGACTGATCACGGCATTATGGTCAGTGATGACCTGGTGTCGATCTCCATCTCGCATGGAGAGTCCTCGATGAGGACAGTGACTTTCAGCTTTCTGGGGTGCCTAAAGCGAACTTGTCTTACTGATGTATGATAGGCAACTCTATTGTCACCTTCAGACTGCCATGGGTACTTCTGCCAGGCCCCTGGTTTTGGCCTCTGTTGATGGCTTTGTGTATTTTTGGGCTGCCTGGTGGCGGTAGGGAAATCGCTGCAGCACACCTTGGTGATGTGCCCCTTCCGCTCATACCACTGGCAAGTTGCTTTGCGGAATCGGCAGGATGGTTGGGCATGGTCTCCTCCACAGCTGGCACAGGGCGGAACTTGCAAAATTGAATTTTCGCACTGGCTTGGTGCAGCTACTGCGCATGTGGTAGCTGTCGTCCTTCTCGATTGAGTCTCAGTCAATTTGGTGGCTGATTCAGTGCCCTAGCCTCGTCCAGTGCGATCTGCAGAGTGAGGTTAGACTTAATGAGTAGCCTCCTCTGGGGGGTAATGTCTTGTATGTGGTCCAGAATCAGCTCATCCAGGTCTCGGAACTCGCAGTACACTGTGGCTTTCTGGAGTGCTACCACATACTCATTGATTGATTCGCCTTCCATCTGGTTTCGGATGTTACATTTGTGCCAGCGAACATACTTGGACGGCTTGGGCGTGTAGTGAGTCTTCAGCGTCTGTTGTAGTGCAGACCAGGACACTGCTTGGAGCGGTATCAGTTCCGAGAGGTTTTTCGCCATTTTGAACACTTCCCGGCCACAGTAACTGAGGAACATGTTCTTCTTACGGCCTTCGGGAACACCCGTGAGGTCGTTTGCCTCAAGGAAACAATTGAATCGTAGCATGTACGATTCCCAGTGCTCAGTGACTGGATCATACGGAGTTGGTGGGGCTTGCATAGCCATCCTGATTCAATTTCACTGCTCAGCGATGGCTTGCTTGATGCCGCACAGGAAACTCCGGGCTGGATGTACTTGCAGGATCTCTTTTGCTCTTTTTGTTTGCCTAGTTGCCTTCCAGTCCCACCTTCGTCGCCAGTGTTAGATCGGGTAAGTTTAAGTTTAGTTTAAGTTTTATTTTATTTATATGCCGCCCTATTCCCTAAAAGGGACTCAGGGCGGCGAACAACTTAAACGGGAAGGGGAAACATACAAGTACAAAATAGACATTTAAAATGACCAACAACCACACCTGTCGAGAGGGGAAGGGAGCTCATCAACCCCAGGCCTGCCGACACAGCCAGGTTTTAACGGCTTTTCGGAAAGCAGGGAGAGAGGTGAGGGTCCGAATCTCCGCAGGGAGTTCGTTCCAAAGGGCCGGAGCTGCAACAGAGAAGGCCCTCCCCCGGGTCGTAGCCAGATGGCATTGGCTGGTGGATGGAACCCGGAGGAGGCCGACCCTGTGCGATCTAATGGTTCTTTGGGAGGTAATTGTCAGCAGGCGGTCTCTTAAGTACCCAGGTCCAATACCATGAAGGGTTTTATAAGTAATAACTAGCACCTTGAAGCGTATCCGGAGACCGATTGGAAGCCAGTGCAGCTCACGGAGGATAGGTGTAACGTGGGTGTATTGAGGTACACCCACAATCGCTCGCGAGGCCGCGTTCTGGACCAGTTGAAGTCTCCAAATGCTCTTCAAGGGCTAAAGGATAGGCACACAAAGGCTTCAGTAACAACAGCTTTTATTGCAAGTCAGGTACACATCTAGTGAGGAAGGGTTGGACAGCAGCCCCTTTTAAAGGGATCTGTCAGACCCTTTGACCAATAGGATTAAACCTCTGTTCCCGCCGGAACAGAGGACCTTGGTGGAAACCACTGTCAGTGGTGGTGGGGATATCTAACAGATGCTCCATTCATTTTTAACAGGAAATCAACAGAATAGAATATATGTAGCTCATGATTGAACTGTAGAATCCTTGATGTGCTCTAAGCTTTTTTTATTAAAAACATCAAGAAAGAAACAAAAAAGCCAGAGAACATTCTTCTTGGTAGCCTATACCCAGAGAAGCAGGGATTAACTGCAGAGAAACAATCAAGCAGAAAACAATAACCTAATCAAGGGGGCCATGAGTTTGACACTCCTGCTTTAGAAATATAGGCTGCAGTCAATGCTCAAAACAAAAATAGGAAATTTAGCCCACTAATATCTATATTAGAGTATAAGGCTACATCATAATTAGATTATGTTACCGTATTTTATTATATCCCTCTAATATTCCTGTTATAAACACACTTGCAAATAAATGAACATGTATTTCAAGAAAGTGTCTTGTGATTAGTGTTCTCCATTTAGGTTGAAAAAGACTGAAAGCAAAGCAAAAGTATCACCTTTCTCCTTTTCTAGATGCATAAGTGAACATGCTTGTTTTAGTTAACATTTTTTAAAAACCCAAATCACTGAGCTTGCTTTATAATTTTCAGTGGAGCTATTCACGGCAATCTACCAATAGAGAGTTTCTCACGTGGCTTCAGGATCATATTCTGCCCAGATTTTTTTGAATTCATCCAGGTGGTGGGGACCTAAGATGGACCAATCCCTTGTGAGGTAGTCAAAATTATCCATGATGACAGCAACAAAGAGATTGATAATCTAAGGAGAAATGCATTGGCACATTTTAGGTGAAAGTTGATAGAAGACAATGGAGCCTAAGCACCATCCAGAGATTTTATTTGACATCAGAGGGATTCATAGTATTAAACTCTTGACTGTGCTATAAAAACTAACTGTCTGATTTTCTCAGGCAATAAAACAATATTTCCATAAATTCTGGCTTTCATGTATCTGGATGGTTTCACAAGATAGACACCAACTAAGGTAGTAATTAGGACATAAGCAAAAAAAAGATCATTATAAAAGGGTGTTCTTATGAACACAAATCAAAATTTACTACAACAATCCTCAACTTTTCATTTCTTAAATGCCTCTAATTACTCTATCAAAGAATGTAAGTGACATCAAGAGAGAATTTAAAAAGCCCACTTTTCCCAAGACAGACATGCATCCTGTTTTTGGATTTATCAGTTGAAATGAGCTTTAAGAACATAGATCGCAAGTTTCTTTCTCTTTCTAATAGTAGCTTTCCTCTAATTGTTGCAAAGGGAGAAAAGCATCTTTCTAAACCACAAATGTATAGTATCAGGGAAGTGGTGCCCCCGTTGCACAAGTCTGATTCTGCGACCAGAATCAACAGACCAAACTGCATCACTTCATCCACTTGGCTTCATCCACTTGGCCTTTTCTAAAAGTGAGTTTGATCCTGACGGGCTCAAGATTGACTCCGCCTTCCATCCTTCTGAGGTCAGTAAAATGAAGATCCAGATTACTGGGGGGCAATATGTTGACTCTGTAAACCGCTTAGAGAAGGCTGTAAAGCACTATGGAGTGGTATATAAGTCTAATTGCTATTGCTATTGTGAACATTATTTGAACTAATAAAATAGACAGAAGCAAGACTTTGCTAATCTCCTTAAGCTTTATAAAAGGAATGAAGGTAAGCAAACTTCCCTCCTTTTTTTACTCCAGAGTTGGCCTCCAATCGTCCTTCACAACCAAAGGAAGTCAATTAATCTTGATATTTGTGACCTAATATTCCTTGGTTCTATGGTCAGTTTAATCAAGTTTACATTTCAGTGAAGTTGAGGATCATAGACCATGAAGAGCTCTAGAGACTGGTGGTCAGCAGTTCCTAACATTAATTTATGGAAGCATCTTAACAGCTTGCCATCATTTTTAATGAAATGAGCTATGTGCAGTGGCTGGGGTAGTCTGGGGAAAAAATAGCCTGTTTTTCATGTCTCAGAAATAGTTGAGAAAGACACTATGGTAGCAATAGCTGCCATGATCTACAAATATATTATTCTACCTCTGGTCAAATAGTTTTTGCAGATGTTGAAACAGAATGAAACAAAGAAAAAAAATCTGTCCTGAAATGATGAACAATGCCTATATCACATACATCACTTCCATAAAACTTCCCTTGTTTGGAGGGGGAGGGGAGGAGTGCCACGTAGTCGGTTTCTGGTCTTGGTTTCACCCTTAATACTTGATTTGGCACAAACCTTACAATCGCTGCATTCTAGCATTGGAAAGTATAGCCAATTCACCTACCCTCACATGACAGACACAAAAAGACCCTTGAAGTTAAAGTAATGTACATTTCTAATAAAGGAGAATATTTGTAGCTCAGTATTGACATGAGGGGTCCTTGGTGCTCTCTGAACTTGCTTGTTTTCTTGCAGACGTTTCATTAGCCAAACTAGGTAACATGTCGATGCTAGTCTAGAATACATCCCATAGACATGCTGGGAAAAGAAAAAGCAAACTGCACCCAGCACTGATGATGTTATCTAGTTTGGATAATGAAACGTCTACAAGAAAGCAAGAAAGTTCAGAGAGCACTGAGGACCCTAATGTACATTTCATTAATATGTTACAGTGTAATCCCCAGAAATGTGAATTGTAGGCCAAAAGGTCAAATCTCATTAGTGTACTGGAATCTAGTCAGCCTGATCCCCTCAAATGCATCATGGCGCAGGGAAGGGGGGTAGAAACTTATACACTAAATGTGAACTTAAGAATTAAGTTCTGGTGGCTAAGTAACTAACATGGTTAAAGGGAGGTATTTGTGTTCTGGAAGAAACCCTGAGCTTTGCAAAAGTAGTGGGAAAACTGTAGAAAAAGAAGCAAACTTAAACAGCTCAATAAGAATGAGAATGCTCAGAAACAAGCGGGTGTGGAATGTCTATTTGGGAGAGGATGTGGCATGGAAACCTGGAGAGCAAAAGAGAGAATGGGATGAATACTGAACTGAACATTGGTTGGATTGATCAGGGGCATTAAATGCTGTACCATTTCATTGCATATCACACTTAAATTATTAATCCCTCTGTACAATATTATTATAAAGATTATAGATGCACTGTCTTCCTTTCAATCTATTTTTCATATCCCAATATTTTTCTTCCTCAATTGTGAATAACTCAATAACTGAACGAACTCCACCTGTTACATTTAGTTCCTGTTCTGATGACATCCCATTTATCTATATATTGCAAATATATGTTGGATGCACACAATATAAGAGCCTGATATAAGAAAGAAGGGAAGAAAAAAAACATACCAGGAATGCACAGATCATGTAAAAGCTCACAAAGTAGAAATAAGCAAAGCCTGAGCCACAGGTGTATTCTTCTCCAGGAGCATAATCAGACTCAGGGTCACATAACTTGCCATAGCTGGCACCTAATAGGACCTCCTGCCAGGCCTCACCTGTGGCACACCTAGAGAAAAAGGGAAATTAAGGCAAGGCAAAATACTATACCTGAACCTAATCCAGAAGGATTATAAAAATAATTCATAGATGTAATTAACATTTTTAAAAAGTACATACCGGTAGTATCAATCAGAATTTTTTCTAGATTGAGCTGCAGGAATTATAATCACATCCATACATACTACCCTTTCCAATAGCAATTCTCATTTACTTATTCATTGGTCAAATGTTTTAGAAGAAATTGAAAAAGTAATAATTCAAGGGTATTTGGGATAATTGTATCTATCATCTATCTATACCTATACCTATATCTTCATTTGTCTGTCTCCTTCCTTTATTACTTTTATAGATAACTCAAAGTGGCAAACAAACACAATATGCCTTCCTCCTTCTATTTTCTCCACAATCACAACTCTGTGGAGTTGGACTAAGAGATGGTGATTGGCACAAAGTCACACAGTTGGCTTTCAAACCTAAGGCAGAACTAGTACTCCCAGTCTCCTAGTTCTGGCCTCCTGCTTCAACTACTGTTGAGTTTACTGCCCATTCCTCCCAATATATTGGGAACAGTTGTTATTTAAATCATTATTTTTTCCCACCAATTGGCAGGTTCACTATCACAGAACACCGGGAAACCAAAGTATTCATTTAGCTGGGTTAGTGGCATTGAAAAGTGTAAGAAATAGTACTGTTGAAAATTAATTCCTTAAACAGGAATTGTTTTATTCAAACATCATATTTAAACCACACATTTGTGCTAACTTTAACATCAACCTTGATAGCTATAGAAAATGTACACAGGACTATGTTTTTGAAGATGATATGTGTATTTTTTGGATCTTAAAGGATCTTCTGTCAAGAGAGGAGATGCCACCAATAAGAAGGGAGGAAAGGCTATGCAAGATAATGTGGCGCCCCAGCTATAAACCAAATAAGCTTAAATAATACAGACCTGAACAGCATCAACACTGCTTGTGGGAAAGTCTGAAAGTGGTTGTTCCGGTTTATTTGTGTTCCATCTACCAGTGCAATTTTCCCAAACATCTATAAATGAACATGCTGTTGTCAGAGGCTTATCTGCAAAACCTTGAAGCGTGTAACCACTCCTATTTGCTTTGCTCATTCTGGATTCTACTTAAGCTATTTAATTTAGGTGGAGGGCTTCTTTTGCCATCTTCCTGATTTAAACACCTGGTCCATCTTTTCCAACTTGAACAATATTTTTTGTAGTAAGGGGAAAAGAGAAAGCAAAAGCAGTAAAAACAAGGGAGTGCTGTAGATAGAATATAATAACACCTGTGCCGCTTGAGAGGTTCCATTTATGGTAAAAGCCATGCATAGAAGCATCCCTTTTCTTTGAATTTTTTCAGGGAAGTAAATTTGTTGTTTGCAATCCTCCATTAAGAAACAGCAAGTGCTTCCAGAAGATGTTTCTATCACATATCATATAGATGTTTCTGAAACAAAGGGATTCTCTTCCCTTTGTAACTCTCCTATATCGTTCTGTTCTTTTTCCTTTCACCAAAATACCATTGGGGGGGAGGGGCAGAAGGGTAGAAATAAATATCCAAGAATTATGCTAGGAGTCCCCATTTGAAAATATCCTTGAATATTGAAGAATATTCTAAGCAAGAGTAACCTCACTAGTGCTAAGTGAGGCAACTATTAACTGAGTCATACCCAATTGTATGACCTTTTATTGCCATGGCCCACATTAATCACTGCAATCATTAAATTATGTGATCATTAAATAGAAATCAAATAAATAAATAAAATAAGACAATTCCAGCTTCCTCCATTCATTTGCTTATTGGAAGCTCCCTGGGAAGACCGTACATTTTGATTCTATGACCATGGGGATGCTATGATGGTCATAAGCACGATGACTGGTTGTAAGTCATTTTTTTCTAGCACCAGGAATGGCATGCAGTCTTCACAATACTTTTCAACTTATGTTTTGGGGGAAATAGAGTTTGAGAGTAAGAAAGGCATCCAAGTAAGGTAATTACATTAAGGTATGTCTCTTTCCATTTAGATCAGGGCAGTCAAACTCCCGGCCCATGGGCCGGATGAGTCATGTGCTGGCCACACCCACGGCTGGTTTACCGAAGGTGGTGGTGGGGAGTTCCAATACGTCATGTGATGCCGCCGTGATGACATGAGTTTGACACTCTGATTTAGATGCATTTTCTTGCATTGCTTACCTGCATCCCAATCACAGCATAGATGAAGAACAACATTACAATCAGCAAGGCCACATGAGGTAGTGCCTGGGGATAAAGTAGAGAAGAATCTGAGGGTCATCCACAACTGCAGATGAGCTATGGGTTGGAAGGTATTGAAGTGCTATATATATTTCCACTTCACCCAGTCCATTCCTATTTTTCCTTCGCTTAGATATAAGCTAGCACATCCAGTAAGACGTACTTACCTGGAAGGATTTGAGAAATGTCCAGAGTAAATTTCTAATGCCTTCTGCTCGGCTCAGTAATTTTACCAGCCTTAGGATCCTGAAAAGCCGGAAAAAAGTGATGGAGATACGACCGCTGTCATCAGGATCTATGGCAGGAACCTGTGGAAAGAACGCATCTCTTGCAGTGAAAGAAGCAGACAGAAGGAAGTAAACTTTATTCACTGAAGGACTCTCTTGTATTCACTAGGGTTTCCTAAAATAAGAGAGCTACAATCTACTGTTTAATTGCAGAAAAGAGGTTGACATGATATTTCTAAGAGAGGAGAGATGTTAATTTTCTCAGTTTTACTCTTCTAGACCTACCTACCACCTATTTTGGCCCTATGTACATCTTGACTCCAGGCACAAGGAATGTTTCCCAATTCTACTTTAAAGCTTTATATGCTGTAGATGAGGATGTAGAATGACTTTCAGCCCTTGACTTAACAAACAAAAAAAATCATAGGGGGAATCCATGGGAATATCAGTAAGTTCATCTTCAAAGACTTTTGACTCTTTGAAGGACACAGATGTGTATTCATCTTTTAGATTATTTGTTTTTGGCAGAATTTCCAACTCCCTATCCTTGCAGAAGTTCAAGACTACAAAATTAAATTAGAGGCTCTAGAAAAATTCAGACACTTCCCTCAAAAAAGGATTTACAGTGACGTGTGTGTGTATGTGTTGTGTGAACCCAGCCACTGTGGTTTGTAAACCAAGGCTTATAACTTAGCACTATGTACTGGGTTTATGTATTCAGTAAAATGCATAAAACACTGTGACTGGGCCAACATTTGTTTATTATATATTTCAATATAGGAAAGCCTCAATCAACCAGACTCACTGGAGCTATCAAAGATCCATTGCCTACTGATACTTTCATTGAGAATATCTCACCTTGTTTCATCTAGCTTGATCATTTCTGTTATGCTTGAATTTTTGCATGCATTCAACAAACTACAAAATAGAATAGGACCCAAGTATCTGAAGGAATATCTCCTATATACTAATTTATCAAGGGACTGAAGTCATATTTGGAAGCTATTCTCCAAATGTCCTTAGCCTCAGAGTGACAACAAGCAGAACTAAGGCAGTAATTCTGTTTTTTGTATTTTAAGCCCCATAAGTTTTTACTTGAGAGAATCTAGATCTCACCAACAAGGATATAAAATGTCATTTTTTGCCTAAGGGACATTATAATGTTTACAGAAATCCTACTATTGTATTTATCATTTAAGGAAAGTTTTCAAAGTCTGAATGACTCATGTGTGTTCTACCTATACAATTTTGTATCTCAGCTATGGTATACCACTTGTTTGGAACAACTGCACTAAAAAAAGTCTCTTTCCAGAAAAGATATGAGAGCAGGATCTTATATGATCACAGATTAAGAGCTGTTGGATCATTTCAGTACCAAAAGCCAGTTGGAAATCATCCCTTCTGTCCAAAGAAAGTGGCTTCCAGACCATTGCATCACAATGTCACAAGAGGCAGAGCAATTTGAACCTTAGTTTCATGATAAATGGGATGTGTACTTGATACACAGGAATCACTGGAATTCTTTCATAATGGCTTTGTTTGCTTTTCTAATATAAGCCACTTATCAGAGCTCCAGTATTCTAATATATTAATTTATTTAATACTATTGTGAAACTATTATTATTATCTATTCAGTGCCAAGCTATCACCATTTTATTTTTCCTCATTATTTTTATTTACCTCATGCAGCTTTTCATAAAATCACATTAACTCTTCCATATTATTCTTTAACTTGCTCTTCATCTGTATTTCATTTTTGTAAAGCACATTGGACATATACGGACAGTATGTAAGTATTTAAAATAACCAATAAAACAGCATTTACCTGTGATGTGTCTCCATTGTTGTAGGCTCCTTGGACTGCCAGTGGCTTGGTCTGTGAATATATTTCGTGGTAATGAACACAGCAATGGTTGCAACACAAGTAGAGGTAAAGGTTCAGGACCAACAACATGCTAAACTAAGGGACTGGATAAAACTAGATGGTTGATTTCATGCTGACACATAGGGGCTGGAATACAGGATGGAGATTCATGCCACTATTATTATATTTAGTGCTAAGCCCAGCAATTCCACCATGGATTAATACTGATGGACTACTGGCTTGTACTGAAACAAAGAAAGTCATTGAAGTCTAGAGGAATAGATTCAATTTGTCAGAAAGGAAACATACACATGACAGGAAACACCAAATGATTTGATTATTGGAAAACCTGATATTATCATAAACTTAACCAGTGCATACATAGTTGTAAATGTAATATTTTTTTCCCAAGAAACATTAGGATCCATATATTGAACTGTTATGGTTTCCCTACCAAAAACAACTTTCCAACTACTGAACTATCTACAGAGATAATTCAGTAGTTGGAAAGTTCTTTTTGGTGGGGAAGTCATAACAGTTCAAGTGGTTTTTTTCCTGACCTTTTTTACATTAAAAATACAGTAGCTGTTTTTATGAATTTTAGCAGCTCTGTTTAAATGTCCATTTTAGCAGTATTAAGTGCTGGGATTCCCCCCCCCCCAGTAAAATTACATTGATCCTGACCAATAAGCACAGATATTACATTATTTAATATCATTGCTTTGGTAGCAGTCCATGTCCAAAGGAAATAGGTTTATATGAGCTAGATAATGAAATATATGTTCTTATTTTTTCTATTTTTCTATTTTTATCTTTTATCTTTTTATCTTTCTATTCATCTTTTCTTTCTATACCGACACTAAACTTTTATTTGTATTACTTTGTGCCTTGTTTATTTGTAACCTAGGGACCGAAGACTATAGGTGATGGTGATAGCACTGGATATTGCTGCAATACCATCACTGCTCCATGGCAACAGAACTGCCAATGCTGACCAGTTTTTTTTTTGCATGTTGTCATCTTCAAGTACACCAATGTACCTCTGTACCTTCACTTTTTGCACAATAGTGAAAAGTGAACAAAAAAAGGAAAGCTTCTATGGATTGATTGAATGAATTATGGACTGTCATCATGTGAGCTTGATTAAATAAGATAATCAAAGTCACATTATGATAGGAAGAATGTAGCAGGCTGCATGCAGATGTTGCTAGTATTATCTATTGTTCTAAAGGGCTATCCAAGCCTAATGCTGAACTGGCATTGCTATGGACTAAATTGCCTCCAGAAAGGACTTTCCTATTAAATGATTTTTTTTTTTGCGTTATCCTCCAAAGTTTGAACATCACAGACTCAAAACCAAAAGTGTCACAAGAAGGAACTATGATCAGGGAAGGATGTGATGAACAGCCAGTTCTCAGATTTATATCTTTGTTGTTTTGCCCTGAAGCAAGGTATATACCCTTAACTGAAGAAACCACACAGAAGCTGAAAAAAAAGTAGGCAGGGATAAATTTGATTCAGTATATTTCATAGGAGTGTCACCCCTTCAAGGTGATCCAGGTCAGGAAACCATGAATACCAAGACTACCTTTATTATAAGGTTACAGTGACAGAATCTTGCAAGTCTGAAAGCTTTTCCTCAGTCCCTGGATTTTGCAGTTCTCCCCTTGCTGAGAACAAGGGAGAACTAGGGTGAGTCAATAACTGAGGTGTTTTCTCCACCCACATTTCTGCTTTGGACCCAAGATTTTTTTAGCAGACCTTTGCCTAGGCTGTGGCTCTTACTCCTGTCTCTCAAGATTATTCTCACAGCCTTTTACAGGGAGAGAATTAAAGAGATTGCACCATTGCAGCAATCCATTAATATGGAAAGATGTCAGTCACCAAGAAGTAGGATATCCCTTTGGAATAGCATCTCTTGCGAAATTAGACTGCCCCCCACTTCGACACTCTTTCTGAAGACTTTTGCTAGTGGGCCTTGGGAACCCAGAGTGGGTTGGAGCCAGTGGTGGGTTTCAAAATTTTTTAGAACCTCTTCTGTAGGTGTGGCCTGCTTTATGGGAGTGGGTTGCCAGCTATGTGACTGGGTGGGAGTGGCCTTCCAGCCGTGTGACTTGGTGGGCGTGGCCAACTTGTAAAATGTGGTGAAACTCACTTAACAACACTCTTGCTTACCAACCAAAGTGTTGGCTCAGAAACTCTGGTATTGAAGTGTGCAAGTCTTAAAGCTGTCAAGCTACAAGACCCTTACACCCATAATCCTTTAGAAAAAAAACCCCAGGGGTGTTCAAACTTGACAGCTTTAAGACTTGTGGACTTCAACTCCCAGAATTCCTCCTCTCGCTCTTCATCTTGATGATGTGTGGACGGGCGGGGGGGAGGGAGCTGGAACCGGTTCTAAACGGCACTGTAGATTTGTGGAACCTCTTCTATAGAAGAGGTTAGAACTGGCAGGAACCCACCCCTGGTTGGAGCCCATCAAATGGCTTATTTGACTGTGTGTTGTCCCTGGGTGGTGGTGGAGGGTGGGCGTATGGTGGTGGTATTGTTTTTTATTTTTTATTTTTGTTCTATACTATGTTTTCATCGTTTGTAAGCTCCCTAGAGTAGCTGTGAACAAGGAGATCGCTATATAAATTTTATAAATAAATAAATAAGTAAATACTTACACCACAGAAAGTAAAGTAGGAAAAAGAGCCTCACCCAAGGAAACCGCAATGTGCTTAAGCGATTCCACAATAACTGTTGCTCCACAAACAACTTCCCTTTTATCGGCATTATCGGCATTATTTCCAAAGGATCACAGTTTGTTTTCCTACAGACCTGCTTTGAGCATTAGTTGCATGCAACTCACACTTTTACACAGCAGCACACAGCAAGAAGAAATAATCTAGAAAAGGAGGAAAGGGAAATGTGGAACAAAATGGTGTCCACAACAATGTCATGCAGCTGATATTTACAACGCCATCACAGCCACCGCTTAGGCAGTACAATCCACCACTGGAAACAAGAATTGTCTGTCAAGAAAATAACAAAGTCAGCCAAGTGCAGTATAAATATATATAGAGAGAGAAGTTGGAAACAATGATTTGGAGAGAGTAAGGGATGGGAAATGAAGGGGTGGGTGGACTGGTGTTTCACAGAGAAATCATGAAAGAATCATATTAGAATTACAATGAGATGTAGAGGTAGAAAGGAGGAAGGAGGAAAGGATTGGACAATAATGAATAAAAAACAATGACATGAAGTGTATTAAGCTAGTCATGTTTTTAACAGAATGTAGAAATCTAAGATAATTGGATAAAACTAAGAGAAATCAAGCAACTTCTTTGAATATTTATATAAGATATATTTCTTCCAAGATTATATGCCTATAACTGTCTATGACACATTATTATCTATGGCCAAACTGCCAAGAGACAACAAGTGAATTAAATTTCAAATATAGTCATGTGTTGGATACTTCCAGAAGAAATTGGGCTCTATGTTCTGTCCTATTATGGCTTATCATGGTCAGGTTTTCAGAAAGATTTGATTCTCAGAATGTCTCTCTTCTTACTGAGTTCTGAAAATAATAGTTCTAATCCATAAAAATAATACAACAATGGAACAGATAAAGGACAGAACTGTCTTTGTATAAAAATTAGCAAGATGCTCTGTGACAAGTTTCTTTTCATGACTGTATGTTCATTCCAGCACTGATCAGTATCTGCATGCAGATATTTTAATATTTCCTTGTCAGGCTGGCTTCCTGCTAGAAGCCATTATGCATCTCCTTATATGGCTGGCACTTTACAAGGTCAAACCCCTACAGTTCTCAGACTAAAAAAAAAGTTATGTCAGCATAGATCAGGTGCCTTCCAAGACCACCAACAGAACTATCAGGATCCATTAACATAGAATTGTGGAAGATAAAAATCTTAGACTATAAAACTTGGAATATAAATTTATATAGACCTTGATTATTATGTATTGATTAGATAGATATTCTCTGTGTATAAAGATTTGTCTTTGTCTGCAATAAAGAAACTAATTTGGCTGAATAGCACCTGTAAATTTTAGCCAAATTTTGAAAAGTATTTAAGCTGTGGTTTATAACTGTGCTTGGTGTAGCATCTGAAAATTCTGGTATTAGTCTAATATTTGTGCTTTAAGCCTGCTACATATGATCACATTTGATGGAGCAATATTCTGACATGTTCTTTCTCTTTTACTGGGAATAAACCTTCTTTGAACAATGAATATATGATTCCTAGGTCCATAGATATGAACCTTAATGTAGTCATCATTTGTTTCTGAACATAATACTATCAAATATGAATGATATTAGACAATCTAAAAAAATTATGAAACACAGAATATACTCAACATCAACATATAACTAAATGAGACAAAGGGACTTACTATATGAAGAAGAATAAAAGAAAAGCATATTAATTTGGTTTGAAAAAAGAAGATACAATGTTTTGGGAAGCTAAACAGAAGTTCTAAATATATTTTTGCTTTTTTATCAACCAAGAATATGCAAAGCAATCAGCATGGAAGTATATTAAGTTGATGTTTTATGAGAACGATAGTCCTTTTACAATGTACAATTTACAACTCATCACAGTTCAGTAAAAAGTATTCCGGTGTAACATAAGACGGATGAAATAAGGACAAGAAGAATTTCCATCCCTGATGATGAAGAAAACTACAGATTCCCAAAGCAAAAGAATACTCACCAGGCAATTGCCAGATTCCCCCTCTAAATTTCACTGATTTTGATTCTTTTTTAATGTTAACTTTCTATGTCTATTTCCCAAATGTTTTAATGAGTCATGTCATGTGTAGTGGAAGCATATTGAAAGAGTTAAAGTCTGTACATTTGGTAGATAAAAACTCAGGAGTCTCCAGATTAAGAAATGTACCCATGATAAGGGGAAAAAGAGAAAATTTCAATGGTGACTTCTGATGTATAATCTTTCCCTTAGCTCTTCATGTTTAGATTTGAGAAGAAAAATTCTAAGACAGGTTGATCTTTGTGTTGGTGATTTATAAAACTTTGGAACTGGTGATAATGCAAATTTGGACTATAAAGAAATATAATAATTTTTTATAGGGACTGGTGTATATGAAAGAAAACAAATTACAGTGTAAGTTTGTAATGATTTGAGTAATTCTGAATAAAACACAAATACTACTGATGAGTAATATTGTAGATTTTCATACTTCTAATCTTGTTTCTAAAGTGATAGCTAACCATAGCTGTAAACAATAGCAATGGAGCCAAAGGCACATGAAGACATTTTTCATCCAAAGCTATGCGCTTTCTCTCCTTTATACGCATATTCAGTGTTGGAAAATGCATATACAAATTCCACTTATAGAATATTTTTTAATATGCTTGTTTATATATCATAGCGTCCATGCACATGTATGCAAAAAGCCCAAATTATGCGTGTATATCTTGCCATAAAGACAGATGCAGTAGAAGCACATATCATAAGCAGATGACATATGGTTGCCATGGCCACAGGGTAGAAATTCTCTGCCAGTACCATGAGGCAAACCATCTCAAGAGGAATTTCATATCACAATTACGATGTATGTATGGTTTATTGAAGCTCAAGGTTTAGAGACCACACAGATGCTATAGAAGTGGTGTTCCCCGGCTATGATATATCAGTCATTGATCAGTAAAAAAATCAAGAACAAGTTGCCTTAAGATGAATCTTGAAAGTTATCTGAGGTTTGCAGAACATGACCTACTCAAACTCTAACTAAGGGATCTGCAACCCATCAACTAGCAAATGGCAACGATTACTATCTCCCACCAGAAGAAACAGAAAATGATTGACAATTGCTGTGATTTAGAAGCAGTATTTGAACATGCAGCACTCATGACATCTGTGGGAAGCTGGGAAGCTGTGGCTGCCTTGTAGTGACAGTCATTATTCCCCTTCCCTTCAGTCTAACAAGTCGTTCCGACTCCTTGTTTCTTTCCATACAATTATCCTCAGAGCACTTACATCAATCTGACTCAGGATGACATCAATGATGCTGCCGACAACTATGAGAAAATCAAAGACATTCCAGGGGTCCCCAAAGTATCCCTGGAAAAGAAAGAAGAATGTAAACTCCAAATACAGTAAATAGATTAAGCTGGAAAAGGTAGAAACCTTTTCTGAAAGATTTTCAGTTCAAGAATCAGTGTTGAGCCTTTTGGCTTATTGTTGAAACTTGTGACCTTATTAAAACAAGTAACAGATATATAGCCCGCATAAGTTGTTCCTTTAGGACCATCCTCACTGAAGATGGCCTGTATTATCCAAATCAAGGTCAGGCTGGCTTTCTGATAGAAGTTGTGATGCATTGATTCGCACTCACCTTTGCTTTGAAAGCTATCAGTTTAAGAATCATCTCAATAGTAAAGAGGAGGGTGAAAACCACGTTGAGGACATCTGAGAGCTGGTTCATCATCTCTGATTGCTTATAATGCTGTAGAGATAGTTGAAAAGCAGACTATTTAGAAAACATGGGCTTTTTTTTGAAGAATAAAGCTTTTCATTAAAGACAGAATCATTTGCCTTGCTTTTTCTTTGTTTTCTTGCTTACTCTGTCTGAAAATAGTTAGATGGTACTAGATGGATTCTCCTCTTTTCTTCTAACATCTCTTTGCCCTATATCTTATTTATTGTCTGCTATTCCTATTGCTAGAATGGCAATGAAAAACTACTGCTCTGGTCACTTTGTAGAAAGCAACAAATAGATGAAGAGTTTGTGTGTGTGATATAATGATGTGTGATACATAATAATGCTTTTGATGGACACATTTAACAAATGCAAACAGTGAAATTTTGTCCACAGACTTTCTCTTCAGAAAATTATTCCTCACAGACTGCAGGATTAGGAATGAAGAATATGGAAAGTGACCAAGAGGACACTGGGCAAATAACAGTCTTTGACCCCATCATCAGTGCCACAGTTTCAGCTGAAGTGCCTTACAATTAACAAGGTTTGTGTAAGGGAAAGATGGAAAATACATCACTTTAACTTCAAAGCAGATAAATAAGTTAGGTGCTCTCAGCTATTGGCTGGGATGAGATAAATGTTGCATCATGTGGACATGTCTTTAAAGCATGGCCAGAAAGGCATATTCAAAGTAAAACGAGTGGGCATGTAGATGAATCCTGTGTTTCAGCTTTCCTTCAGCAGGCAGGTTTGTTCCAAAATTTCATAGTTCCCACTACTGCCACCACCACTCCCCAGCTGAAGAGGAGTTCTTGGCTTCCATACCTGCATGCCCAAGCAGATGGTGTTCAGTGTGATCAGGAAAAACATGAGGTACTCAAAGTAGGAGGAGGTCACCAAATACCAGATCTGGTATTGATAAGGATTCTTGGGAATGTAGCATCGCAGAGGCCGTGCTTTGAGGGCATACTGGACACATTGGCGCTGAAATGAGAGGCAAGGCAAGAAAGGAACAGGCTGTATTTACTTACTATACTTGCTTCAATTTTCTGAGATTGATCAGCAATGCCAAGTGTTTATTGTGGCTTGTTCTCTTCATAAATACAATGCTTAAACAGATTGCTTTCCAACAAATAGCTGTCAGAATGTTATTTATTTATCTATTTATTTACTAGGTGTACATATGTATTTGTTAAGAGTTATATCCCATCTTTTACACAAGAGCCTGAGAATCACCCTTTACAGGTAGTCCTCGACTTCTGGCCACAATTCAGCCCAAAATTTATGTTGTTAAGTGAGACATTTGTTAAGTGAGTTTTGCCCCAATTTATGACCTTTTTTACATCGGTTGTAAAGTGAATCACTGCAGTTGTAAGTTAGTAACCCAGTTGTTAAGTGAATCTGGCTTCCCCATTGACTTTGCTCATCAAATGTCCTTAGAAGTGATCACATGACCCTGGGACACTGCAACTGTCATAAATATGAGTCAATTACCAATCATCTAAATTTTGATCATATGATTATGGAGATACTACAAAGGTTGTAAGTGTGAAAAATGATCATACGTCCCTTTTTTCAGTGCCATTGCAACTTTGAACGGTCATTAAATGAACTTTTGCAAGTCGAGGACTACCTGCATTTTATCCTCATGATATCAGACCTGTGAGGTGAGTTGGACTGAGAGAAAGAATGGCTAGCCCAAAGTCACCCAATGAGTTTCCATGGCTGAGGGGGTATTTGAACTTGCATCTCTCTGTTCCTAGTGCAAGTTCTTGATCACCACATCACAGTAGTATTCTCTCATATGGAGACCCTCACACTAACTTCCTTGGGCTTCCAAAACATGGGCAATATGATGCCCATGTTTATTCTTCTTTTTGTCTTCTTTTCTGGAAAGAGAACATGTGTGGGCATTTCTAAAATTGTATGAATTTGGATTGCATTGGAATGAACATCTTGTGTATAGTATGCAAATGGACATTAGTTCCTAATGAACTAATAATGTTATCTAGTTTGGTAATGAAACATCTATAAGAAAATAACCAAGCTCAGAAAGCACCAAGAAACTCACAGTTCAATCCTGAGCCACAAATTCTCTCTTCTATCTCTTTTAGTTCATTTATAAATGAAATGCCTTATTTTAATGTAATCAACAAATATACATTCAATTAATATTAATGTATTTTTCTTCCTCCTACCCCATTGTAGCATGCACATCTTCAAATGTGTCACACGTACGAGGGGGTGGGGCGGGTTAGGATTCATTTCAGCTAGAGTTAGCATTATAAGGACATTGACAAAATAAGGAAACTAAACAATACACAGGCTTAACATGTATGTGGTGTATGCCTGTGCATTGACCTCACGTGGACAGTACTTATTTTAAAATTAGGATTGCCTTCTTTTCACATATGTTCAGTAAACTGAATAAATAAATGAATGAACCAGAAACCATGAAAATATCTTATGCAGCCCTGTTAGTAGTCTAATAGAAGAACAAAAGCAAATATTCAGGGCAAGAAGATGAACTGGCCACATATTTTAGAGTTTATTTCATCATATCCAACCAAATTTTCCTTCCTGCTTGAATAAGAAAAGTTACAGACTGCACAGAGCTGCTGTGCTCAGATCCTTCTTTAATCCTCCTATTCACATCAAATACAGCAGAAATTTTCTTTGTGCAATTTCAAAGTTTGCAATATACAAAATTTCTGACTGAATGGTGTAACACTACTATATTCAGAATGCAAACTCCAGCACCTAATTTTGAACTATGCCCAACTAATACCTTTCCAACTGTTGATGTCACACAATACCACAAGGCAAACATTGTCCCCTAAGTACCTGTATGTGATGTTACAACACACATACAAAAGAGGAGGCTTGTGCATTATTGTCACGATGAATGTTCTGCCATTTTAACATTATTGTGATTAGAAATGGATATTTATATTTCTCACCTCAATCTCAGCATTAGCCTTGCACTTTTGGGATGGTCACACAAATCTGCCCCCTACCTTTGATATGCGCAACCTAAAATCTAGGACTTGTCACATCAGTTTTGCCCAATAGATAAACTTGCCATACCTGGTTTTTGTTCAGCTCACAGTCTTTGTACTCAGTTTCACCCTGCTCTTGGAAAGTTACAATGATGAAACCTACAAAGATGTTCATCATAAAAAAGGCAATGAGAATGAGATAGATTATGAAGAAGATAGCAATGCCCATACGATAGTTGTATATAGGGCCCATGTCTTCAGTGTGTGTATCAATTGCTTTATACAATAATCTGGAAAAGAAAGGATAGAGATTCCAAATTAATCGATGTAAATAATTGAGCTTTCAAAAAATTCAATCTTAAAGGGTTTCTAAACAATTAATTTAATGGTGAATATATGTACACCTGTAACACATAATTTTCCAAAACAGTACTGTGGAGGAAAATAGCACATACTGTTCAACGATCAAACCATAATATGATAGCCTTTATTCCAATTATCTTATTGGTTATGATAATAACAAATAATATAATTTCTATGCTTAAGTAAATGCCCCAAACAGCAATTTGTACACACTGCTGATAAGATAGTTAATGATGTGCCTGTTCTGACCCAGGCTTCCCGAGAAAGCATTAATCACAATCTTAGTCCCCTAAACCCTCTTTTATTTATAAACTATCATTTGTGAAGTAAACATCTTATAAGGCATTCAGTTCTCCCATTTCAGTACTTTTAATGGTTACAGCTATAGCTTTGAATTATGATCACTCACAGCCCACAAGGCTTCACAAATAGTCTGTGAAGATTCCAACAGATGTCTGTTCGAGTTGCCACAGTTGTTCAGGAGAATGTTGATATGTACCCACCTTATCTCCCTTGAAATGCTGCCAGAAACCTAATTGCCAATTAGTTTTGCAAGGCGAAACTTAGCACAGAGTCAAATAGAACTTCTCAAATGTTGAACCGACCAGATGAACTAATTGCTTCCTGCAAAGTCTCACATCCCGTTAGCTCCTTTTTTTATGTCTTATGGGAGGGGCCAATCATCTCCAAGCCTTTCTCCCAAGGCAACCCTGTTTTCTTAATTGTTCTTGCCTCTGGCAGCGCTGCGCATGCGCACACTGGGAACAGGCTCCCATTGTTCTTCTGCCTTGCTGATGTCAGACTCCGGAGGCTCTGGAGCCCTCGTCTGAGCTTTCCCCAGGCTCCAGGCCTGATCCATGTTCCTCCCCAACCTCCTCACAGTCCTACTCTGCTGCCAGGTCCCAGGCCCCCAGGGGACCACAACAGTGCCCAAAGCTTCCCCTTTCTGTTCCATTTCTGTGCCATTTTGCTTATACAATAATAGCTAGGACAAAAGGAAACAGTGGCCTTTCATAGGATTCCATTAAATTAGTTTTCCACAGCTGATGGGACTATATCATGGGCACTGGGAATTCACAGAGCTGAAGTCTAGTACATTTTGAGGGTACCATGATGGAGATGACTAGTCTAAATATTCCTAGGAAATCCACCCCCCCCCCCAATATGCACACATATTATACACACTCTTTCTCAATAGTGAATTCTGTACTCACTTAGGCCATCCTTCAAAGGTGGATACAGTGAAGAGAGACATCATAGCTGACAAGACATTGTCAAAATGGAAATCATTGTGCAGCCACCACCTTGCTTTTTCCACAACCTGTGTTGGATCAGCATCAACATACTCAATGAAGTGTCCCCTGGGATGAGAATCCACATATTAGCTACAAACAGCCTGCATCATTAAGTGATGCCTACTTAGAAATACTGTAAGCAATTTTGTTCAAGGGCTATACATTTCCAATTAAATAGGTGCAATATTGCAACCTTAATTTCAATTCTGTTGAACAAGCTGCTTATTTTTGGCCTTCAATATTGTAAGGATTTTTTTTTCTTTCAGTCGATCACTTATGGCTAATTGATTCATGGTTCAATTAATATTTTATATTTTTTTAATATCACAATGCAAGAAACAGCATAAAGATGGCTTCTGCCATCTACAAGTGCACTGGACAATAAAAACTAGCTACTGAACATCCATTATGAAAGAAAAAAAAATCCTTA